ATGTGTTTGCCTTTTGTTTTGGTGACCATACATTCCAGAAATACAAATTAATTTTCATGGTGGCTGTTAATGGACGTAGGTGCAGTACTGTGAAATATGCATGTCAGTTATTTGTACTGATTATTTTGAATTCTGTTTTTATGCAACTTCATTCTTACAGTTTTAATCACATTATACAAGATTATCAATTATACAAATCCTTATTTATTTCAGAAGTCTGACATTACGTGCTCTGGTTCAGAATCAAAGTGAACATTGAAAGAAAACCTTCATAGTTTTTAGAAAATTGAGCTAAAATAAATCATTAATTTTTGCTGGAATAGTAATTTTGCCATTATTATGAGAGCAAGTCTGCTTTCTCACTCATGTCCAATCTATAAACATACAAATACATCTCTGTATATCTCTCTGTATTTTAACACGTATTTTCATTGCTATTTTTCTATACACTTTGGGTGTATTTTTGGCGATACTTCATAGGGATTTATCCAGGTACTTCATGAACATATAATAGAAATGTAGGCTTCCCATGCCCTGTAGGTTTGTGTGTGCTGATTTTCAATTTCAAGTTGGCTTCTACATTCATAAGTTGAGTTCTGTTAACTATTTTTAAAATATTTGCAATGTATGTCAGCAAAGTCAAATCTCTAACATTTTGTAGATCAGGCTTTTCTCTACAGCTTTAGTGTGGTGTATTTACATGTAATATCAGCACCAGTGAATACAGTTTATTGATACTTGACACGTGTACACAGCAATGAAACTACCACCAAACAAAGGCAGCAAACACACCTACACTCCCAAGAGCGTCCTCCTGCTCCTTTTGAACTCGTGTCCCTTCTGTCCTCTCTGAGGAGCTACTTGAGGGTGTGGTTGAGGGTTTCTCAAGATGGTTCTCTGTGACAGATAGACTATGAATGTCTTTGAGGTTCCTCATTATCTCCAATATTATTTCAGGTCATCCACGCTCTGTCTGCCCTTTTCCATTCTGGGCCTGATGTTTATGGAATTCTGTGGAAGGTTATTATTGTTGTTGCTGCCTTCTGGGGAGTTTTTGATTTTCTCGTTTTCATCTGGAGGACCATCCTCGCTGTGAGTATTACTAAAGTACCTGACAGTGTCCTTTTAATCACACCTAACAGGAAGTTTTATAGTCACTGGACATTTTATTTGCCTGCCTGGGCCAGAATCCAGGAGTCCAACCCTCTTCTCTGTTTCCTTGTAGATTACTAACTTGAACAGAAATTAGTATTGAAGTGGAAATTTGTTGCAAAATGCTATCTTTATAGTAAGAACTCAGTGAGCAAGACAACAATATAAGAAGTAGTAATGAGAAAATGACAATTTATAAACCCTTTTCTTCAGTAATGAAACAAAAATATTAAGTATTTGGTGAGCCCATCTCTCCCCACCTGCCCCTGCCTGTGTGTTGGGTGACAAGGGACAGGGAGGCTCAGTGTTCCCTGAGTGACGTGTGAAGTTAAGGGAACATTGCGATTTTGTTTGCCCCCCATGGATGCATTCTTCCATAACCACACTATTGCCACTGAATTTTCGACACTGTGATGATACTCCAATATCTTGGCAAGGTTAGGGGCTGGCCTCAGTCTCTGATCATCACTTAAAGTTTTGAATGAAGAAATATGTTTTAAGGGTCAGGAAAATGTGTCTTTACATGGTATTACAGTGGAGTCCTGCCTGGATCTTACTGAGCTGTAATTCCTCAGATGATGAGTCGTGTCTGAGTCAGGAAGCACTTCCTGCTTCTTGACAATGGTCGCTGTCTGTCCTGCTGCTGCTTTTGCTTTTACTACTGCCGTTGCTCACTTTCATTCTCGTCTCATGTCTCATTTGATGTCCATTTGTTTTTAGTGTTCTTGACAAATCTTATGATCTTGTATGTTACAATTGCTTATCGATTCGACAGTCAACTCTGTATACGGTTTCAGAAAAGCTTTCATTGAATGAAGTGGTGTATCTTAGTATAAAGACTTTGCCTTTATTTTTCTTGTAGTTTCTCCTCTCTCTCTCGAAGGTTATACAGCAGTCCAGGTTCTGGACTTCAGTGTGGATATTTGGTTTGACCAAAAAAAAAAAAATCAGATAAATGATGCGTTGGTGTATTTACAACAACATATTATGAAAATAAAATAGTTCAGTGTTATCAAACATAAATATGCATTATGAAAATTAGATTGGTGTGTAATAGAATTTTAACAGATCTTTTGTTCTAGAATAAGATATTTACCATTGTGCTCTCTATCAGAAATGGTGAGTGAAAGATCCTGCCTTAAGTAGGAAATGCTGATTTTTCCTGATTTTTAATCATATGAATTGTTAATGCTGAACAAAAATGATAATTGTAAATTCAATGGATTACTGTTTTGCTAGTTTACTAGAAACTATGTATTTACTAATTATATAGTTTGACATCAAATTTAATGTTTCTTCCTCTCCTAGGTAAAGCCTCCAGTGTATCAAGGTAAGATACTAGGGTCTACTTTTCTTTGTAATGTTTTCTCAGTATCAGGATTTGATGTGGGTTTTAATTCAACTAAGAGTAAACACAATGACTTCTAATGTCAGACTTCTTAACTCTTGAAAATTTTACTCCTGGGATGGTGTCTAAATGACACCATAGAGGAAGTTGGCATCTATTGAGATAAGAGACCAGGAGAGTCTGAGGAGTAGGGAGACTAGGATGAGTTTAATTTTGCATAGAAACCTTTAGGAAGCAGGTGAAGAGAAGAGCCTAATGTTTGGAGTGAGTACCTGACCTGACCTGGTCCTTGGTGAAAAGGAAAGACACTGAAACACTGCTTCAGCCTGTCAGGACTCTTCAGACTGAGGGAAGGATGCAGATGCAGCCAGGCATGTGTGTCACAGCCAAGGGGAGACCACACTAAAGCTAAGAAGTTAATTACACGCATAGTGCCAGCCAGATACGTTTCTGCTGCTAATTGGGATAATTCGATTCTACTGGGTTTTCCTACCAATATGAGAACTTGATTTGTCTCCTTTTAGTTACTTTAAAGCAGATAACTGAGAAGATCAAGACTGTTGAGAAAGAAAACAGAAAACTTGAGGAAAATCTATCAGCTTGGGAGCCGAAGGTATTATTGTCCTTTTGATATTTTTTGTGATTTCACCTTCAGTTCCTTCCCCCTCTGGTAGTTCAGTTCTTTGGCTCTCTTTTCTTTCATCCTGCTGTCCATATGGATATGTTCTATAAGGGGTCTAGATTCACAGCAAGTGTCCTAGATAAAAAAAACAAGTTTCTTCTGTAGAGCACAGGGAACTCTACTTGATATCTTGTAGTAACCTATGATGAAAAAGAATGTGAAGACAAATAGAGGTATATACATGTGTGAGTGAAACATGATGCTGTACACCAGAAACTGGCATATCATAACTGACTATACTTCAGTAAAGAAATAAACAAAGCAAGTGTCATATATGTACAGCACCACTTTCTGTATTAGTGGAAGGGGTCACACACAAGATAGGTTCGGCTAGCAGTGTAATTAGTATTTGTAATTCTGTTTCCTTTATTACATATTTGCATAGACCAATGATACAAAGAAATGCTTAGGGAAGACCATTAGGCAAAAGAAGATGCTCTCTGAGGAAACACTGAAGTTTAAAGTATGAGCCTCTTCTTTTCCTGGGTTATATTCTGAAAGCAGAAATGAAAATAATGAGTAA